AAATCCCTGCAGCCCCACACACACATTTACAGGCAGACAGTCACACACTCAGTTGCAGACAGTCACACACCCAGTTACAGGCAGACAGTCACACACAGTCACAGGCAGACAGTCACACATACACATTTCCTCCGTGCGCCCAGTTTATCAGCTGTTTGCTTGTGTGAGCTGTACTGGCCGCACGGCACCCTAACTACCATGGGGCACTGTGCGGCCACAGCTCACACAGCTCCCTCCAGCCAGGGCCGGTGCAAGGATTTTTGCCGCCCTAGGCAAAAGTAAAGTTTGCCGCCCCCCCCCATGTGACATCACAATGCCCCACCCATATGATTTGCCATGTTAACTAACGCCAGTGCTGCAGTGCGCCGTGTTTACATTAAAAGGCCTGCAGGGACAGGCTATAGACACCAGAGCCATTACATTAAGCTGAAGTGGTTCTGGGGACTATAGTGTTTCTTTAATGTGAGGTAAATTAGAGCTTAGTGCCACGAATAATATACTAGATTGCCTACTTACAACCAGATGAGGATGATGATGGGCTCTAGCTGCAGTCTGGCTCCACTGGTCTGGTGCAGAACAGGCTCTCTGGAGGCGGTTTGTAACTGTAGTCACAAAAATCAATGTTCTGGGAGAACGGGAAGCAGCTCCATTTTTTGGGGGCCCTTTGCACAGCTCAAGGTCTGGGTCCCAGGGTCCACCTTCATGTTCCACCAATGAGTTTGTTCACAGGGGGTGGAGTGTGTAGGGGATGTCCTGATATGTGTGTAAGGAATGCATTGCGTGAAATTGTGTTTGTATGTGTAAGGACTGCAAGGTGTGTTTCTGTGTATGTATGGGATGCATTGAATGTGTGTTAGGGGTGCATTGAGTGTGTGTAATGAATGCATTGTGTGTTTCTGTGTGTGTAAGGGATGCATTGTGTGTAACGGTTGCATTGCTTGTGTATGTGTGTCTGTGTGTGTAATGCATTGTGTGTTTTTCTGTGTGCAAGGGGTGCATGGTGTGTATGTGATGAATGTCAATCTCTCCTCCCGCTCCAATTTCCTTCTCCTCCTCCCAATTTCTCTCTTTCTCACCCCCCACCTTATTTCTCTCTCTCACCCCCCCTTATTTCTCTTTCTCACCCCCCCTTATTTCTCTTTCTCACCCCCCTTATTTCTCTCTCACACCTTATTTCTCACTTACTCACCCCTTATTTCTCTCACTACTTTTACTTATTTCTCTCACCCCCTTATTTCTCCTCTCCACCCCCTTATTTCTCTCACCCCTTGCCCATTTCTCTCTCACCCCCTTACATCTCTCTCCTGCCCCATATCTCTCTTTCTCACCCCCCCCTCTTATTTCTTTTTCTCACCCCTCTCTCCACCCCCCTTCTCTCTCTTTCTCACCCCCCTGGTTTCTCCTCCTCACCCCCCTTATCTCTCTCTCACCCCCCCTTATCTCTCTCTCACCCCCTCCTTATCTCTCTCTCACCCCCCCCTTATTTCTCTTTCTCACCCCTCTCTCACCCCCTTATTTCTCTTTCTCACCCCCCCCCTTCTTTCTCACCCCTCCTCTCCCCCTTCTTTCTCCCCCTCCCCCCTACCTCCCTGTAGCGTGGCCGAGCCCTGTATAGTCCGCGGGTACAGGGAGCTTTTGTTTCCTGTACCCGGCCGGACTAACAGGAAGTGCACACTCAGTGTGCACTTCCTGTTAGTCCGGCCAGGTACAGGAGACAGCTGCTCTCTGTACCCGTCGGACCATGCTGCAGTGAGGGAGCTGACAGGAGCGCTCCCTCCTGTCAGCCTCTCCTCAGGTTGCGCCCGGGCGGTGCGGTCCGCCCTCATGGACGCACCGCCCGGGCAAAGCTGCAGCCGCCTGAGGCTCTTCACAGAGCGCTCGGGCGGCTGCAGCATGGGGGGGGGCGGGGGGCTGGTCATGGCACCCCCCACCCGGCTGGCACCCGGGGCGGACCGCCCCCCCCGCCTCCCCCTTAGTACGCCACTGTAGCCAAGGGTCAATTACCAAGAAGGACAAACAGAGACAATAGCACCAGGGGACTTTAAACAAGAACCACACTAGGGCATCTGACAAGTGTCATGATAGCACTTTTATAGTGTGGGTTCTTTGGCTTTAATTTTGTAGCCACGCCCCCAAAAAGTCCAGGAGCGTGGCCACGTTTGAATTTTGGCGGCATTTTCTTTCTGACGTCGGTGCGCATGCGCCGCCTCATAAAGGTGGGCGTGTTCCGAGCGGCTGGCGTCAGAAGAGCTGAGCCGCC